AAATCACTGGAAAGATAAATCTTATATGGTAAAAGGTTTGGTTAGGTAATAGGCACGAAAACAACTGGTTATAGGAAAAGATTGTGGTTTGGGTTCAAACAAGCGCTTTGTAAGGGTTAGACGACAATGTAACCCATAGTTACGTATCAACTACCTAACTATGAATGATAATAAGCCACTTCTTCAAATTACCCATAGAGTCGTTTTTTTTTTCTCCACAAGCAAAGAAACAAACACACACATACAGTATATGGACTTACATTTCCCATAATGCAACTCAATAATATCTTTCATTTCCCAAAGATATTATAAAACTGTTTTCACAGGCTGTGTCAAACTCCTCATGACAAATAAACTTTGTGTAAAATGTGTGTGCAATATTCCTTTAACTTTGTATGCAAACAATGGCAAATGTACGTGACTTAGGATAACTAATGCAGTCATTTTTCTGGGTTAAGACATAAAGTATGATATAGTGACTGTGGCTGGTTTTAGTTTTCACAAAATTATAATTATGATTGAATTTGAATTAATGTAAATCTAACTGACTAAACGCCATTTAGCAAGCATTGAAAACCCCTCAGTGAGAAGACTGATTTGGCTTTGTTCACTGAAACAGCTGCCTGCACATAGTGGGGGGGGGGTTTCTCGCCATAAGTGTGTAATGCGAGTAGAGAAGGGCAGGGTTTTCTGCAGCGCCGTCATGGCACGAGCCTTGGCAGGGTGGTGGTAAATCACAGTGAATGTGAGGGATTGTGTCATGACATATTTTTGCAAAGGCAGTTGCTCAACCTTAATGAAATTATGTTTCCTAGGGTGGGATGATTTCGCCATGTACAAACACATTCTCCCAAATTGTCTATGTATGCGTAGTTTACACACACACACACACACACACACACACACACACACACACACACACACACACCAACAGGCCCTCAGCTCGGTCTCTGTCTGCCTGGGGCCTCCATATCACTAAAACTGTCTCTGTGCTTTGACACCTGAGAAGTCTGCTAATCCTGTTTATGTGAATGAGATTAGAGAGACACTGGGTCACTGCATTGGAGAAGACTTATTGCACTGCTTTTTATCAAATTAAAAAAATATGCATCATATGCACCGGTATACGTAAACCACCTCACCCACACTCACCAGATACAATAAAAACAACCTTCTCCTGCTATCCTCTCTCTCTCTCTCTCTCTTAGAAAGTACAGATTATGTATCATGACTCACACTGATAATCAAGCTGTGTAATTATCAGCCTCCAGTGGTATTGTCTAATCTGACACTTCAGATCACAGCACATGCACAGACACACTAAATCTCTGCATTTTAACACCCTCCACACACTCAAATACACACACAGAGGTCAGAGCCACTAGATGTCGCGCTAAATCACCAGCATCTCCGACCTAAACAAACGCTTCGTCGGTCACACTTCCGGGTTCCGTTTGGCTACAATTCCCCTTCCCTCCCTTCGCGGTCTTGGTCAGCAAAGTGTTACTAAGCTCAGTGAAAGCGCCACAAAACATACAACAAGAAGCACAGCTGGATAAAGTTACCCTATGTACACGAGAGCCGACTAAAAACAACCCACACAAAACCGTTAGCCCACATTAGCATTGCTATACGCCGACAGTTAGCCTGCTAGCTACAACATGCTAGTAACATTTGCCGGGTTAACAGCAAGTTAGCTAACCGTTATCGTGCCTTTTAGCCGGTCACTAACAAAAATAGACATGTAACATTATGTAGAAAGCAAGTTACTTACTTATGAAGGAGAAGAAAAGCCACTTCCGGATCGAGCTGGGGCCCTTTAGCGGCTCCAGCTCGGTAAAGCCAGAGCGGTATTGACTCCATGGTCGGCTGGGAAAGAAAATCAGCCTTGGACTTGGGGACACTGACAGAGCCGGGAAACTTCAAAAACTTTATGGATGTTTTGATGGGCCACAAGTCCATCGGGATTTGAGCTGGTAGTCCCCATGGTCAGTCCACCTGTACTCTGGTCTTCTCTCTTTCTTTGAGGCCTTTTTAGATGAAAACGTGGTTTCTTCAGTGGAGGGAAATTTTGCTTTCACCTGTATGCTGCTACTGCACTGTACCATCTCACCTGTAGGCGGTCCCTGTGTTTTTGTAAACAAGGGGAGGGGCAACCTTTAACAGGAGGGACTCACATGCACTAACATGCACATGTACATGCATGTTAGGGTGTGGGGCGGTGGGGGTGACTTCCTACTCTGCTAAGGATGCCATTACTCCACTATATCTTTACATAGAAAATTGTTTGTTTGCTGCAATATTATTGTTTAAAACATTTACAGAACCCTTTTAAACATTGAGGCAGCCAGCTTAACATGAATAGCAATGTGTCCAGGAAATCCAAGAAAATCCATATGCTTTAATTAACTGTGCATCCAGCAGCAGTAACTCTGCAGGCAACAGAGAGCAGGAGCTGACCAGCAGAGTGAGTTCAGGACCACAGCTCCCAGTGAGTCCAATTCAATCACCGGTCAAGTTTTATAGCATCAGATCTCAGATCAGGTCTACAAAATTTTATTACAGAAACATGGAAGAAATACACTGAAATTCAAATATGTCTGGTGCTGTATCTCCTGCTTTACTGTCCAGTTTGAATTGCTATGCTAGACTTTCTAAAGCTACAAACTTGTAGTTGGCTGTAAGTGATGGTGTCTCCAGATGGTTCTGGTGGACCAGTCTTTATTCCCACTCTGCTCCTTTCTGAGACCAGGACTCAGCTCAAGTGTAGATCTTTGACATTGCTGGAAATGGGATATGATGTCATCTTCAAACATCTGATGATCTAATATATGATCTAATATAATTTATGTTGCGCACATCATTATCTTATCACACATTAAGTCTCCCTTTATGAGGATGAAGTGTCAAATGGGGAAAAAGAAGTAGCACATTCACAGTGAGTGTTACATGTCACCACATAAAACACACCAGAGAAAAACTAAAATAATTACTCTGGGTTCATTCACACTCTACAGCTTCACCCATTCAAATTCCTCAATGTTTTTTTGCATTTTGTTGCATCATGACCCAGCAGGTATCGAGAAACACAATGATAACCAGTACAAACAGCTGCATCATCAATTAAAACAGAACAGAAACCAATCCACCCAATATAGAGGCTACACTCACGAAATGTGGCATAAAAAGTAAAGACAGAGCTCTAAACTATGCTGTTAGGTAGCAAAAATCAGTTTAAATGCTGTCTTTAATTTGTTTTTCTGTTCTTTTTTTATGTAGACGCACAGACACCACCAAGAAGAACAGAATGTTAAAAACAGCAGACACTTCTCTCAGTGGGAAATGTTTAAAATCATTGTCTCAATTGTCTCAAGAAATTTGCACAAAACTGTAATTAAAAATTAAACTGATTCTCTGTATTCACATTTCATTTAGTTTCTTAAATATATCTTAATATAATTTTGCTATGATCAGCACGGTCACTAAACCTTCAAGGTTCTGCAGCAGTAGCATCCTTTTCTATCCTCATGCTGCCCCCTCCTGGAAGAAGTCAGTAATTACAATCCTCAGTAAATTACACTCAGTTGTAATGGTAGTTCAAAAACAAGGACTTTAGGGGGGTCAGGGTCATATATGGACTTTTTACCACACATTTCCCACTTTCTACACATTGTGAATATAGTAAAAGATTAGCTTTAACTGGATTAACCTTGTTAAATACACTGTCCCACTGTTTGGCCGTTTGTGTTTCAATAGTCACACAAACTTGATAAATTCTACATTGTATAAATGTGTTAATTTTACTTTTCACCATGCTTCTAGTCATATCCAGTGTTCATTTACAAGAAAATAAAACAACACTAATGTTACATACGAAGCTGCTAAGCTGGTGTCAGTTGACACATCTCTATCTCTACACCATACAACTGTTTCAGTCCAGTATTGTTATAAATAGCCATTGGGTTGAGAGAGAGTCTACAGCTGAATGAAGCCCTGACTCTTTGATTGTAAAGACCTAACACCAAAACACATTGTAGCTGCACTGACAATACCTCACATCATCTGTTTAACCAGTTATCTTCCAAAATATGAATAATACACAAATAAACAAAAAAAAAATGACCTGAAATGAGATGTACATTGCCAAGCATGTTTCTAAAGTCTAAATGTTCTGTTTTAACCATCTGGGTTTTTGGTGACCTGAGGCTTGGAGACGCGGTGATACTTCACAAATAACTGTAGACTACCACTTCTCTGTCTTTTCTGTTTATTTCTCTCTGTCTGCTGTCTGGCTGATGACCTCTAACTGTGCAGTGTTTGGTCATTGCAAATCATCACTCATAATGTCACCGGTCCTAGAAGTTCAAAGGTCAAACTGTGGCCTCGCAGGAAACCTGGAACCGTCTGGATCACAGACACTAACTTCTCATCTGGAGGGCAATCAGGGGTAATCAGACATGAGTTTGTCTGAGACCTGGAGGCAGAAACACACACAGCCGAGTGGATCAAGCCCCAAATATAGAGTTCAAGGGATTTTTCTCAAAGACTGAAGCCGTGCTTTTATTTAATTAACAAATTTTGTCTGTGTTCCTTAATTTTGTTGCCTTTTGTGCATGGAAATATGTCAGATGTTGAGTGTTTCAGTCATGAATTTTACATTTTAAGTGACGGTTGGGACTAGAGGGATTTTATTATTTGATGTCAGTAGGCTTCCAGCATTTCTAATATCATTAATAATTATTACACAAAAACAGAATCAAATGTGCCACTTCACAATTGTTTATTTTTGACACCAGTATCACTTACACACTCAGTGTCCCCTTTATTAGGTACACCTGCATAGTCTGATATGCTGTTCTACCATTGACCCTACATTTATGATGCCACCAAAAATCAAATGTTATGAACTTAAAGATAGATGACAGCTGAATGAGCTTCCTTGCTTAAGCCAGAGTTTTTTTTTTGCTGGTGGGAAAAACAACAACAGAAAGCACAATGTGTTGAGTTGAATGACTTTTATTTTGTAGGCACTTTCCATTCACACAAAGAAAACAACAGTGGAAAAACTAAGGAATAAACACATCCTCTTCATCATTATGTTCATGTGTTTTTGTTTTTTGTACAGAAGAAAAAGCAAGATCTGGATTTTTAAGGTATGCCAACACTGTTTCACATTTCTCACAAGCTTCTAAAGAAAAAAAGCAAAAAACAGCAAGCAGTTCGACCTCGAACCCAGTTCAAGTGGAGTCCCGCCCTCTGAAGGCAGTCACACAGCTGTAAAACCCATACCCAACCTCTCTGAGTCTGTGGGTATTTGTAAATGCACAATGATACATGGACAAGTAGACCGTTCTTGCGGAGCAAAGTGAGGAAGATGGAAATGGAAAATGTAAATAAATAAGGTTAAGCCTCTGTTTCAAGAAGCATCCACTCAGCTGAAGTGTCGCTGAGCCTGGTGCTAAATCCCTGGAAGATCTGGGAGCTCTAACCCTGCCCATTGATCTTCTTCTGGAAATTCATTAAGAGTTGTATTATTATCATCAATACTTTTATTCATTCCTGCAATGCAGAAACAGATATGCAGATCAGGCTGAGTAGCAGGTGTGACGTGTTATATGCAGAGCTCCCTTCCTGGAATATTTATTTTTGTGCAATTGACATTTCTTAATCCTTTAATAGACTGGGTCCTCTGGACTCCAATCAGCAGCATGCAATGATGTACCAGTAGGAGGCAAATAGAGAGTTAAGGAATAATCTGGGAGGGACAAGGAAATGAATATAAGCAGTTTTTACCTCTTATGTACTACAGAGAGGGAATGAGAGAAGGAAGAGAGAGAATGTACAAGATGAGATATTACAGAGACAGAGAGGTTATTTTCAGTCCTTCAGGAGCTCTTGCCTTCAAAGTAGTTCTGTTCGATACGTCTGCAGAACGACAACAGGTTGCTGTAGCTCTTGATCCTCTCTGCCAGCTCAGTGCTGGTCAGTCTGGTTGTCAGTATAGTGAAAAGATGACCAAACACCAACGCGTCCAGCTCTGTAGGCCTACAACACACACAGATACACACACTCAGTGTATATTCCTGCTGAAATTAACCATGTCATTAATGATTTTTACTTTAATTTTGGTTACACTGTGATGCAAAGTCTCATTTTTTGACCTTAAGGGCAAGTAAAGTTTAGATTAGATCATATGCACCATAGCATCTCTGCTTATACTGAGAATCTTCTTTACCCCTAACAATTCTTTCATCCACTTCTTTCACTCAGCTTCATATGAAAAAAATCAGAGCTGACTGGTTAAAAGACACGACATCAAGATACAGAGTTTACAAACTTTCATCAATTGTTCAAAGGCCTTAAGACACACTATATATTCTCAGGTGGTACAGAAAGATCTTTCGGATGATTAAGAAGCTATTACAGTATTGCACCACAAGGTGGTGCTAAAGAAGACGCTGTCAGATGCTTCCAAACATTTTGTCCATTCTGGCTTGGGCTTCTTTAAGGTCAGCTACATTAAACAATCTACCACACACACACACACACACACACACACACACAGACACACACACACACACACACAGACACACACACACACACACACAGACACACACACACACACACACAAACAGACAGACAGACACCTACTGTTTATTAAAGAAGTATGGTTGTGTTCCCAGCCTCTGGGACAGAGCCTGGCAGCACTGACTCACATCTTCATAAACCTGAAACACACAGCAAGTGGACAAGAAAATTGTTGTGTTTTTCACGTCAACATTTTGTGAGACAACAAAAACATAAACACCATCTGGGGAAACCTGAAAAGAACTGTAATACGTCCCAGGTGGTCGCTAACCTGCTCCAGGGTTTTCCCTCCCCAGCCGATGGCATTCATCTTCCTGCGTACCTCCCACTGCTTCTGATAGGCGAGGATGTTACTCAGAGGCCACGAGTAAGGGCTGCTGTACCTGGGGCGAGAAATCTGCACAGAACACATACATGTGATTTAGAGGCAATGAATTCTCAATGTAAAAATAATAATAAAAAATCCAAAGAGTATACAGTAAAGTATACACACCTCGGCAGCTGTAGCATCATCACACCACTGGATGTACAGCTGTGAAGAGGAGAGGAGACTTGAAAGATTGAATGATATTATCCAGTAATATAAGAATTGTGAGCAACTGTGCTGAGGTTCACGTACCAGTATTATTGTTTCAGCTGTGTGTCTGTGTGTGTGTGTGTGTGTGTGTGTACCTCAGCAGTAAGCAGCATGTTGTTGACCAGCTCCATGTATGCTTTCATTTCAGCTCTTTGAACGTCGTCTAAACCATCACTCAGAGAATGACCCTGAAAACCCAAAAACACAAAGGGAGAAAATTTGTTTTCCTCAAAGCTTGAAAGAATCCTATTTTTCTAAATGAATAAATAAATAAACACACTAACAGACTACCAGTGAGTTCCAAAGTGAGTAATAAGCCCAGAAAATTAGACCTACATAAGAATTTGATTAAAATGTCTCTGAACAATAAGCGGGCAGTGATAAATTCAATAATAACACCAATGTCAGTTCATGTTACTCACCTTAGCTTTGGTGAATTGCACTATTGGCCCAAGTTCTGACACCACTTGGTTCCCTACATGAATAAAGGGAATCTTACCTACAGCGAGCCATTAAAAAAACAGAGAGAAAGACACAGGTCATTCAAAATCATTAGACTCACTTTTTGAAACACATATAAGCAAAAAACGTCCTTGAGTTGCATTCAGTCAAAAATACTTGCTGTTTCATCTAGATCTAGACAAAACTGCTTACAAAGTTAATATTGTTAAATTCTGCAGTGAGATAGACGAAGATTGAGAAGTGCATAGAAGTGTTAACATTCAATTTCCAATAAAAACTTAGCATTAATCAATTTCCAAACCAGTAACAGTATCCAAATACTGGTATTTTGGTCGATATGAACATGTTACGACTGGATTTAGACCCAATCAGGTTATATACACCACAAAGACACTGTGTTCATTGCATCACAATAAAGGAACACGACAGAGGAGAGCAGCACGTGTACTAACCAGAGGGTGACATGTATTCAGCATTTGCTTTGCAAACCACCTGCACTGGTAAACTGCACATCCTGAGGTAGGCCTGCACAGGAGAGACACGAGACAAGGTCCATTAGTCATGAAACAGTTAACTGAGAGGTGAGTCAATCGACGGGAAATTAAATGATGATCATGTTGATGATCCATTAATCAAGTAAGTTATCTATCGAATAACATACAAAGTCAAAGAGAGGTATCACGCATGCAGACACCAACATCCACAACAAGATACAAGCTGACACACACAGGGCTGTGCAAAAGTTTTAGGTGCTTTGAATGTTTAGATTCTTATCCATCTCACAGTAGCTGATCGATCTCAAATTCATCCTGCGATATTCAGTATAGTATGATGGAGTCAGTGTGGGATTACATGAAGAGACAGAAGACACTGAGACAGACTTAATCCACAGAAGAACTGTGGCAAGTTCTCCAAGATGCTTGGAAGAACCTACCTGCCAAGTTCCTTGAAAAACTGTAGAACTGGTGCTGTTTTAAAGGCAAAGGGTGGTCACAGCCAATATTGATTTGATTTAGGTTTTTTCTGTTTACTGCACTTTGTATGACGTTAACTGATACACAAAAACTACTCGTGGAGTTATTTTTGAAAGTGCCCTCACTGTACTGTTAGTGGCCTTAAACTTTTACACACTACTGTGTATGCTGATATATCTACACACACAAACAGAACTTCACCTGGACAGCAAGAGATGAGGCGCAGTCGGACAGCAGAATCTGATCCTCTGGAAAAAATGACAGAAATGTGAAGTAAACAACCACATTAACAGTAACCATTCATACTGTTTCTCCAGGTCAGACAAACACCGACTTACCCTTCAGCGGTTGGTACAAGGTTGCACTTTCAGGCCAAGGCTCAGCAGCTGTCGATGTCAAAAACAGACACACAGACAGAAAGTGTTAAGGTTGTGGTTTAACCTTTCAAGTTTAACAACTGACATTCTGCTAATTTAACTGTAAATTAGTGTACTCATTGATTAATGTAGCGTTAATTTATATTCAAATTAACGCTACATTAAACAATGAGTTTCAGATATTCAGTGCAAATTAAGTTGCTTAAAGGACAAATATTGAACATATAATTATAAACCCATCACAGTAGATGTTAACCTCTCAGCAACAGTTCAGGTGGGGGGGGGTCCAGGTTGATGTCAGGTGTGGATGCAGAAAAGACATCACCACATATACTCATGGAGCGCGGGAAAAAAAACCCTTAACTTCTATATAAGCCGTGTAAAATCCAAGATGGCTCAGAGGAGTGCTGCTCATCTTGGACCTGGCGTCGTTGGTTCAATTTAATATGATTTACTGGCATTTCACTGGATTAAATCGTGTATTTCTAACTGGAAACACGCCTGTCATCGACGTGAACCCCCCTGAACTGCTCCTGCTTTAATCTTCCGTCCTCCCAGGGTTTGTATTTTAAACGAGAATCTTTATTATTAGCATAATTTATCTAATGGGCGCTACACTCGGTTAGCCATCTAGGACAAACGTTAGCTAGGTGGCTAACGATAGCTAAATAAACAACGACAGAAACGAAGGGCGAAGTTAGCATGTTACCTGCCATCTGCGACACGAAGGCATCTGCCGCAAGAGACATTGTGCTGCTGTTATATCCTTATTGATAGATAATAAATATGATGAGATGTGGGGTCAATTACACTCTATGCAAGTTTAAGGGCAAGGGTTTATTCTGCAGTCACCGACGGGTCCGCCAGCGATTTATGTCCCGAGCGGAAACTGTTACTTCGATTTTTAGTTCCGGACCTGGCGACTGCTGCATCTTCCTCGATTCTGTTTTAATATCAGCGTTTTACTGGAGGTGTTGTGCGGATTTTGCTACAGTCTGCTACGTGCTGGTAGTTCATACAAAGGGTGGACAAAATAACAGAAACACCTCATGAGCTAGTCCTGTAAAACGCCTCCAGTCCTTCCGCCCTTTTACACAGTCTCAACAATAGGACCTTGAGCTTTGCAAACGTTTATATGTATTGCTAATCTGTTTGCGTAATTTGTCGCCATAATACATGTTGTTGTTTATATGTATGTACACGTATATGTTATTATCACGTCCATACACTAATCCAGTGTTATTCTAATCTTATTAATCAAAGGTTTTGTTTATTATTTATCCAGAAGACTATAATTTATCATAAATATTGCCATGTAGGCTGTTTTCCCTGAATGAGAACATTTCTAATTGATCTGACTCAAGTGTGGAAGTTTATCATGTCTTAATTTACATGTACCTTTTTTTCTCTCTCTTTCAGGCTGCACTACGGAGCGCAACCACACGGGGGCATCCCTGCTTCACCACTGTCAGACTGGGAAACGACAGGTTGGTGTTACATGCAGTTGTCTACATGCACAACGTTCACCAAGCGCAGACAGAAACAGCTCGAACACGATACAACAAGAAAAAAATGTTTTTTCATTGTATACAATAGAGATAATTAAGACTGATTAAATTAAACGGCATTTGTTAGAATAGATATAGTCCGTAGTTGATTTTGTAGGCTGCTATTCTTGTCCATTTGAGTTTGGACAAAATGTATTGTCCGTGGGCATATGTAGACATATTTATTGTTTGTGTTAACTGAAAAATAGGGACCAGATATCTAATCTGGTGCACAGAACAGAATCAGAGTATTAAATTCCAGATTTATAGCTCCATAGTGTTTTAGTGGTTTGCTGTAGGTTAGGCTATTTGCCACAGCAGAGCAAAACAAGTAAAGTCTGTCCCTCCATTCCTGAGTGAATATTTGGGCGCTTGCTGGCCTGACTGACCAGCTTTGCGGTTGATCCCCAACATATGATAGATACTCCAGGTCAGCCCTGCTGTGCCTTTCCTGCACATTTGACCGCGTCTCGACCGGAAGCCACCAATTAATGGCTCTCGGCGTTCACTTCCCTTACATCCTAACACACACACACACACACACACACACACACACACACACACACACACACACACACACACACACACACACACACACACACACACACACACACACATACACATATATATTGTAGACAGAGAGGATCTTTTCTCTCTTAAAGTAGCCTGTACGCTGTGCGTAAAGTGTGCGTAAAAGCGCATAGAAGTCATAAGATCCTAGGCAATATAATCTTCCAAATGGTTATGAATAATTTTTGAAGGTTGATAGTCAGTGTGTAATGCAGCCTACAATGTAAACGAGAGTAACATCTCGGGTAATATCGAAGTCTGATATCATATTTTAGCATTTTTACATTCTGGCGACATTGGAAACTTTACGTTTCCCCTGTTTTCACTTAACAGCCGCTCCTATAAATAATGAGATGGTGCCTCCAACACCGGGTCCTCCAGGCTACTGTTTCTCTGTCTCGGCTTCAGACAGTGTGTACAAAAACTGTCGCGCCAATGATGAAATGTTGAGGATCACAGTTTATCTGCGGAATAATTCTGTGCGCTTTTGAAGTCCTGCCACGGGAGAGGATCGTCACATTTAAGAAGCGTCTCAGTTGAGACATCACGGACTGGATATTTGTCTTGGCTGACCTCATGGGTCACGCGCCGTTAAATAACTGTAACAAAGATCGTGTATGATACAGAGGATGACTCCATTTAAGTTTGTGTTATATTCATTACTGTCCCTCACACACTATATTAATAGCTATTTCATTCATAAACCGTGCGTGGAGTAATTTTTACGTCACTTCCGTTGATCCTCTCACCAACCCGTCACCTTTCACCGTAGGAAAAGACACCCGTCCTCCGCGTCAATACGGTCAAAACGTGTGTGTGTGTGTGTGTGTGTGTGTGTGTGTGTGTGTGTGTGTGTCAGAGAGATAAAGAAAACATTTTCTTCGCTCTGCAATTTCAAACATTTTTAATTTTTATCAAAACATTTTCACATAAAAAATTTTTTTAACACGAAGAGTTTTACTTTTTTTCCAAAAATGAACACATACAAAAAACACAGATGATGCTACGAAGAATAAAATGTGCTTCTAAATAATACAAATAAAAATAAGTACTGGCGTAGGCTAAAATAGAAATCAATAGCATATTAAACTGGAATCAAAGAGAGAACATAGACTTTGATAATGCAACATTTTGCTGTTTCAGAGAGGATTATTTTAAACCTCTCGGTGCTTGAATCAAACAAACCTTTCAGAAAGTTCTTTTCGTTAAAACCCTGTAACCCTGAGAAAATGTGTTGGATTTACAGCCACTTTCGTACATTAGAAAAGCTTTACATACAATTTGGCTGTTTTTATTTATTTATTTCCCTTGCGCAAGAATGTATGATATCTCCCGTAAATTGAAGTGTATTCACCTTATGAAGATTTAAAAAAAAAAAAAAAAAAAAAAAAAAAAAAAAGAAAAAGAGAAAATTCTGCATATGGCTACTTCTCCTACGAAATATGCATTGTTTTTGGATGCTCCTCTATGTACAAAATAAAAGCTAGAACATTATTTGTCCAACCATTCTGCACGACAGCCGCCGAGCAATTTGTTGTTTCCTGTCTCTGTTACTTTATTTTCCCCTTTTACGCTCCAGTCTGTGGAAACAACATTTTGGTAATGTGCATATTCATAAGTTAGGCTGTTTCATCTTTTAGGTAGCTATTATAAAACCCTGTATTATGTTTACCCTGTAGAAATAAAACCCTGTTTTCTCCAAAAGACACAATCTGTCCGCGAGTTTGGCAAGACTGCAATAAATTACAGGCACCACGCTTTAGCGCCTTTTAATACTGGATGTATAACAAAACAATTCCCTAATTGCACCAGAGATGTCAGACCTTCTATAGCCTTGTAGCAGCAGTCTTAGCAGAGCTGCAACGATTAGCCGATTAATTGATTAGTTGATAAACAGAAAAATAATTGTTTATTTTATTTATTTTAATAGCCTCATCAATTAATTGTTTATATGCCAAATTGCCAAAAACAAAAATGCAGTTTTCATCCTCTCAGATGTGATGATTTCCTGCTTTTATCTGTTTTCATATCACATTAAAGTGAATATCTTTGGGGTTTGGACAAAAAACTGTGGTGGATACATTTCACCATTTTCTGATTAATTGAGAAAATAATCAGCACAATAATTGATAATGAAATAATCACTAATTGCAGCCCTAAATGTAAGACTCAAAGACTTTTGTTAATGAATGAAATATCAGACCAAAACTGGATGTAACCTCTGTACAACAGACGGATTTCAAAACAACTGTAATATGAGGCAGACATTTAAAAGTATTTATAAAACCTTTTGCTGGTCTGTGGATGGATGATTTTAAAGCAGTTAAGAATTGTTTCAGGACCGCAGTTACCCTGGATCAATTTAGCAACATCAGTTTTGGAGAGTGAAGGTGCTAACATGGCTGCCTCTGACGGCCAACCTGTGTCTCCCACCGTCACACAGTGATCACCGTCTTCACAGTACTGTCGCTCCCGCTGCTGCTGACGCTGCTGCCGCTGTTGTCGTTGTTGTTGTTGTCCGTTGCCTTCTTGTTTTTGCTCCTTCCTTTGGTGTTAGGCAGCTTGTTGTCTTTCTTCCAGCGCATGCGCCGGTTCTGGAACCACACCTTCACCTGTCGCTCGGACAGGCAGAGCGTGTGGGCCACCTCGACGCGGCGGCGGCGCGTGAGGTAGCGGCTGAAGTGGAACTCCTTCTCGAGCTCGAGGACCTGCTGGCGCGTGTAGGCTGTCCGCAACCGTTTTGGCTCCGGTCCCACGTGGTTTGGATTAACTATAAAAAAAAATAAATAAATAATGAAAGAGAATTAAATCCAGAGAATGCATCTGATTATACTGCTTTAATTTAATTTAAATTTGTTTTATTTTCTATCATGAATATTAGTGTTGTTAGGGTATATAACAATAGCCTATTCACTAAATTAACAATGGCCCTATCTATAACTGAATCTTACTGAAACATTATCGCAGTTATTATCGCGTGGTGATTTCCAGTATTAATCCGTAGCTACTTGTGGTTGACCGGGAGGAGATCCAAGACACAATTTTTACTTTTAACTTGCAGCTTTTTGTTCAACCGCACACACACACACACACACACACACACACACACACACACACACACACACACACACACACATGCTGTGGCAGGGCCATAAAACTTTATAGTGGTTGTAATTCTCCCTGACTCTCACTGAGATCATAAATAACTCGACAACAAAAAGCAGTGCTCACAAATGGACAAAACACTAGAAAGAAAGAAAGAGAGAAAGAAGGAAAGAAAGAAAGGGAAAGAGAGAAAGAAAGAGAGAGTGCATCTGGCAGATAAAAACATAAACAAGGGAATACGACACACTGAAATGATGGAGAAATAAAATAGAGAGAGTGTGGAACAGAGATAGAAAGATGTAAATCTTCAGGATCTCTCACCATGAGCGACGTGCACTTTCTTCATCCAAGGGTAGACAACAATAGGCGGCTTGTCTTTGCCCTGGTGGGCCGTTTTCCTCTGCACCTGAGCCGGCTTTGGACAGGTCATCCAGGCCTGGCACTGCAGGTCACCCACGGGGAATCTCTCTTTAGCGGGGACGTCTGTCTCTCTGTAGCCGGGGAAGGGCGCACTTTGTTGCTGCGAGTGGTCCTCTCCATCCTCCCGGTGATGCCCCTGCAAAGAGTGTTGATAGCCGGTTTGTTGTGGTGTGTATGGAGGCGGAGGAGGCTGCATGGGCTGGTAGCCCCCTCCATAACTACCACTGTCCTGAGGGTTGTTATAATACCCCCCTTGGTCACTAAAATTACTGTAATCTTCTTCACAAGGCGGGAACTGCGGCTCAGCATATTTACAGCTCACCACGTAGGACTCCATGATTGATTTATAGCGAGGCTGGTAGGAGAATACTAATTTTTCTTTCTCTCCCCTCTCTCTGTCTCTTTTTCCCCCTCTGGCATCAAGCCATCCTGCGGCTGTCAAATAGACGGACGGCCGTGCGGGCCACGTGACCCTGCGGCCAGCCAATGAGAGGCAGCACTTCGTGTTGTTTATGTCCGACGTAATGGGATAATTTGAAGGAAAAAAATGTTCATTATGGGACTAATGAAGATTTGGTGGTGGAGGAAAATGGTTAAGAGGAGATGTTTGTGGACTTTGAAAAATAACTTTAAGAATCCTAAAGACTGCTGACATGTGGAGAGTGATGAAGAGAACAATTACCATTAAATCTATCTATCTATCTATCTATCTATCTATCTATCTATCTATCTATCTATCTATCTATCTATCTATCTATCTATCTATCTATCTATCTTCATCTGCACACTCCCCACCCCCCTCCCTCTCACCTATTGAACATGCTCGGACTGTAGATTTATGACTTTTAGCTGACTGACTTTTACCCCCACACAGATGGCCGGAGCTGAAAAATTCATCTCGCCCATATTGAAGGACGGCGGGGCCATATTTGGCCTTGTGGCGAGTCAAAGGACGGACAACAAAACGTGGCCGGTCAGAAAGGCCTCCAATAAAAGAATGGGATAAAAGGTTCCCAGACAGTGACTAGTAGTTGGCTTTGTTAGGCTGAGGTCAGCCCGGGGTGTCCCGTTCACCACCACCACCTCGGCTTTTAAAGGAGGGGAGGGGGGGTCGCATTGCTTGGCTTAAAAAATGATGCTGAACGAGAATAAAATGCGACAGGGTGAATTATGCTGGATGCAAAATCGAAAACGCTGAAAGAGATAAGTGGGGAATATGCTAAATTGAAGCCCTCACACGAAGACAAAGTCATATAACTTAATGAGGATGCTGCTATTGCGTGCGCACTGCAGCGTTAGGTAATGTCTTGTCTAAACTACACTCGTTTCTATCCAAAATGCAAAATAACAAATGCCACGTTTAAAAAATAAATAAATAAATAAATAGTCACCTTTGCACTGAGAAGTGCACCATAAATCTGTGTTACATCCTCCAGGATTTCATGAGGATTTCCTGTGTGGCTGCAGCTGCTCTCTGAGGATGCTGAAGGTCTGAGGCTGAGCCAAGACCTCTTAATAACTCCTGTGATGTAGGCCCGCCATTACCTCTGCTGTATATAGCCTGTAATAATCCTCTAATAAAGAGAGGAGGAAGAAAGTGTTTTTGCTTGGCTGGGGTATTAAAGCAGCTCATGCAGAGGGTCTAATGGGTCTGAAGGTTTTGACATGGCTGACAGAGTACAAGTGAACTGGGGATTATATGGGCTTAATCTATCTGATCTAATGAGTCATTTGTTCAGAGGAGCTCATAATGAATGACTGAAAATCACCGATAGGCCACAGTGTAGGTAATAAAGTGGCTAAATCTCACACGATTTGTCAGATTAATCAATTTTTCATCTTTGTCTCATAGGGCAGTGGTGGAATAACGTCGTTCAGCTACAAAGACAAAGCATTTTAGTTTTTATATTTAAAGAAAACAACATTTCCATTAAGTAGGCTGTTCAGCCGTTTATAGATTATACTGAAAACTTTAATTTCTATCAGACAATTGGTGACATGAAGGTATCAGCGGAGATGAAGCTACAGATGTTCTTTTTTTAACAAAAGAATTACAGCCACACTTGCATCTGAATGGGCTGCAGAGGTGATTTGTAATTTAGGCAGCAATTCATTTAACACATTGTGATTAAGATCTTCAGGTTTACATGTACACTACAGATCAAGGTATTGTTCTGTTGTCTGTAGCCTACCTGTGATGTAACCACATTGCTGTTTTGATTTCTTAATTAAGACTTAACTGCGGAGACCTTAATGACACCGGGGAGTCAGATCCAGTGGAGTAATCATATTGTACAGTGTCTAGCTCAGTGTGATGGTCGTTTTGGACACAAACAGCACAGTGTGACACGATGATGTCACTTCCTCATCAAATAAGTGGAGCTTCTCTGCGTAACACAAATGTCAGTCAGGTACAGCTTGTAATGTAGGAAAGTGTGGAACTGTAGGAGAGCTGGAGACGTACATTTTCCTTTTGGCAAAGCAAAATCTCTGTAAACGGCACTCAGTTTTTCCTTCCCCCTCCATGGATGTTGATAGATGGTTAGTCATCGCCCATAGACTCCCCTAGAACCCAATCTGTGACTGAGGCAGCTCCACACACATTCGGTTCTACAGGGTATATATAGGCGAAGCCTCACGTCACAGCTGGCCGCTGATGACTTCTTTTTGTTGTTGACGTAGATTTCTACACCCGCATGTTTTCACTGAAGACGTTTTACCTTCCAGCGCTCTATAATTACAGAGCCCAACATCACCATTCAACCCATCCCTCCATTTTTAACAACTGTATGTTTCCGATGGTCAACGTGTGATGCATCAGTGTCATTGTGTAATTTATTGAAACCATTAATGGTGCTGTAGCATGTAGCTTTTTGACATCAATAACTCATTATGGGCGTACCACATTAATTTTGATACATATGTGTAATTAGTGTAAGAAAGTGAGTCCATCATCTAGAAGACTGGCAGCCTCAACAGTGCACTGTGGACAGGGTGGATGTGTAGTTGGTAAATCTGCATGAAATCGGTCTTGTAGCACAGCGGGAGAGGGATTTACAGAACAAAGTAGCAGGAGGAGAAGCTGCTCCTCCACTGGAAAGGGAACTAAAAGTTAGGTGTATTTGGACAAGTAGATGCCATCAAAATGATAATGATAAACACCAGTGGATGAGCGGCGTTAAACAGAGTCAGCCTTGTCCCAGCCACAGTCTCATTTGTTACTATACAAAGGTGTCAGAAATATTTTGAAATCATGCGTTGATGTTTGAACACTCTCATTGATAATAAGTCATTCAGAACAACGCTGCAGGAGCATTTTTAATCAGTATGTCTGACCTTTGTTGATGTAGCGTTGTCAGTTAGTGCCAAGCTCTTCACTGTTCCTGGCCACTTTATTAGACACACCTATACAATGTACTGCTGTCCAGTGCAACGGCTCGGCAACATATTCTACTTTTACAAAGCTTATGATGACCTGAGTTTATTCAACTGTATTATTAAGGTTGTAGTGAGAAAACCAGGTTTAACACCACTACAAACTACAACCTCCAAAATAAACATAGTTAGGATAATACCTCTTTGACAGTGTCAATCAAACAGAATTAACTTTGTAAAGGAGGAGTTTGAGCTGTAGTATTGGATTGCATTAGATTTACAGGAGTGTATATTCTTATACTTGATAGAATAAATGTCATAAGTATAATTGTAAAAACTGCTAAAAAAAAGAAAAGTTTACATCATTCGGTTGAACAAGCCTTGTATATTTTGTTATTTACACATTTGATAACAGCCAGGAAACAATATATGTTAGAGGCCACTGCTTTCACACACTCACCAGCCAGCTATAGGCTGTGTGGACAGAGCAGGGCTCCCTAATGACAACTGGTCACCTGCCAAAGTTGCTGGTAAACAAGCTACCAGCCGCAGTGCAAACGTGAGCAGCATTTGAAAGGCGGGTAGTGGTGATTTCTGAGCTTGGCCTGGACCTCAGATGGGACTCGAATGAGGATCACAGCGCTTGAATGAACATGGCCCTGAGGGCAAGAGTAAATTTCTTATTTAGACCCTGCTGAAATAGATTTATGATGGTTCCACAGCCGCTATAGATGTTTATAATTTAACATCTGCCGTCAGCTGGCCGGTGGACGCACCACAGGATTCATCCTATCCACGACTGTTTAAATTCTAATCAGGCAATCTGCACTGAAAGGCAGTTTTACCAGCGATATCAGGGATAGCGTAGCTTTGTTGTTGTCATTTTTATTGTCTCTATGTGCACTGGATTTGTTTGGGTACATATTAAATGGAGGGTAAACATCCTACTCCATACACCAGTGCCCATGCTTTACGTTATCTTTGTCTTTTTTCCATTCACATCCATACACTATTAAGAATAATGGTGGCATTTATTTGCAATGTATGCAGAAGTAACATAAGAGGTGCTGTGTGTGTATTAACTGTAAATTTTCACCAAGATACCAAAGAGATTTTTTGTTTCCATTTCTTTGCCCTGGGCAGTTTTTCTGTGCTCTGGCAGAGACTCATTTCTGCTGTTTACGTTTTAGTAAGTTCCCATGGCCATTTGAGTGAGCGGCTGCTGAAAACTCTACTGAGCCATTTGTTGCAGAGGCAGAAAGCTTAGGTTGCACCGAGTGAGAGGAACAGCGAAACTTTATGTGAAGAAAGATTGGTTTCACATTGAACAGTGGGGAAGGTAAACACACACAAAGGTGTTTTCAAAGCTGAGCTAAACATCGATTCTCAACAGTTCAGATTAATCTGGTTGACTAATGAAACTGCACCTTTCTGCAGATGTGGAAAATACAAATGGTCAGAAATCTATTCAGTTTAGGACTATTAATCCACGCCTGGAGTAAAAAAGGACTTTGACCTAAAACTTTCATTTTTCACAATTATTCCAGCCTAAATTCTTCTGCTAAATAGAGGGTTTGAAGACTGGAGTCATTAGCTCACACCTTCTGAATGGGGCTCCCGAGCTCTGAACTTTGGTGGACTCCTTTTAGAGGCAACAACAACAACGGAGAGATGTTTCGGTTTTTGAAAGAGCATTCTTCTTTAAGAATGTAGCCTAGCTGCTGTCAGGTCGCCAGAGGGTCAATCAGAATCGTTGACCGCTGGTTCACCGTTTCATTAGTCCTCGCGCTGGACAGGGCAACGCAGGGGCTCGAGCTGGGGACCATGCAGAGTTCACGCGGCCTGCGGGAGTCGCGAGCCCATTGTTCCACTGGTTTCTCCCTCTGCTAGATTATTGTTGTGCAAAGGCAAACGCGAGTCCGAAATTAAAGGGTTAAAGAGTGAGAACACGAGGCCATTTTC